TGAACCCCTTCCCCCTGGAAAGGCAGGAAACTTTATCCATTGATCTTTCTGGAAATCTTTCATGTTGAGTAATGATGAGGCTAGGCTTGAGGTCCCGTTGCCTGATTTGCCTGGCTAAGGCGGCTGTCATTCGAAGGTCTTCCCTCCCCATCCCCCATCCCCTCAAATCCTCAGTCACCCCACAAACAGCCACACACTCCCAAAGTTTAATCTCTATCTTTTGCATTCAGCTCAGTAGTACCAGGGTTCTTTACTAAAAATGGAAGTTTATTACTACCAGATTTTGCTAGTAGGAAAAAGAGAACTCAGAACTTCAAGATTACGTGACAATGTGGAGATGAATTAGCTCAGGTCTCCCTTCCCACCTCCACGACATCCCAGCTAGGGAAAGAGGCCTTACTTCCTCAGCTACACACGGCAGAAAAGGTTATTTTTTTAAAAGGGAAAGAATTTTTAAAAAAGTGACAGCCCAGCCAGAGACAACTGAATTAACTTTATTCTTTTTTCTAACTGCAGATTCAAGGTATACAACTGAACATTGCTATTTTTCTTATGAGACTTATAAATAAAAATACAAAAAATGTTCACTACAAAAAAATCTACTGTTAGTAGGATGTAAAAAATATTCTCTTTGCTATAGAAGGCACAAACTTCACTTAGTGACACATGGAGAGAGAAAAAAACCTGCAGCAGTAAATTCATTTTTTTCTTTTTTCTTTTTTTTTCTCTTGTCAGAAACACTGAAGTTACAAAGAAACGCGTCAATCTACACGGAACGAAGGCAGATGCGGAAAGCTGCAACCCGGACCGCACAACTTCGAGCGAACTGCTTCTGTACTAGGACAGAGAGGGCTGGCAAGCAGGACTGACTGCGAGGGGAGAGGAGGGAGGGCAGGGAGGAGGGGAAAAAAGGAAGGAAGGAGGAGGGAGGGAGAGAGAGGAAAGGAAAGAAGAGAAAGGGAAGAGAGAAAGAGGGAGGTGGGAGAAAGACAGATTTTTGTACAAAAAAAAAAGGAACCAGTAAAATTGAAGAAACAAAATTGGGCAACCTCCTAAAATTAGGCTAAGAGGAGGTGCTGAGGTAGACATTAACTAGAACATCAATTAATTAAAAACACTATTTTGTAATACAGAGCAATCAGGACTGGCACTTGTGCTGTCGCGACGTAAGACAAGCCATGAAAACAAAAACAAAAACAACAAAATGAAAACAAAACAAGAAAACACCCAAACCAAAAGGCTTAGTTTTGCTTGGTCCAGCAGGGCGGCGGCCCTCAGTGCTATAACTTACATATATATTTATATTTATTTATATATATATATATATATATATATATATATGGATAGGATTCCACAGTGTTTTACTGTGGATTCTTAACCTTAAAAAGATCATGCATAACACTATGTGAACAAACACTATGATAGACACCAAGAGGTTGGTACCCTGTCTGCACAGTGGGATGGACCAGGGTGGCCTGGGAGGGAGGCAGTGTCATGCTAGCTGGCCTAGTAGCCATTCTCTTCCTGCCCCCTTCCCCCTCATCCCACCTTCCAGTTTCTCTTTCTATTCCCCTCTTCTGGCTCGCTCAAGATTTCTTCACCACCACCATTCACACCAAAGCAGAGTTTGTCCGTGTGTTGTTGTTATTGTTGTTTTCCTGAAACATCCAGATAAATACTTCCATTCTGCCACTGGGCACCCTGTGCCTGGAAGCTTCAGGGCAGTAGAGGGTCCAGGAGGGAGGAAGGAAAGGAGGAAGAACTAGGGAAGTGGGGAGACAAAATGGATCAGGGAAAACAGACCCCAACACTCCCAACTGATCTGACACCTTTTCCCTCTGGGGCACAGTTTGGTCTTTATTATTATTATTATTATTATTATTATTATTGTTTTTTGTCCCAGATCACTCACATCCCGGTTCCTTTGGATCCTCCTCCATCAGGGCTTCAGAACATGATTCCAATCTTCCCAAGGATGGAGCTCAACGAAGGCCACCTCTCACTCCCCAAACAGGGAGCAAGCCCATGGTCCTCCTCCCCTCTCCTGGGACATCCCTGCAGCTGGTTGTACCAATCAATGGATTCTAGAAAGGTACCATACACTTGTGAGGAATTGCAGCAGTTTTTTTTTTCTTTTCTTCTAAACATTGAAAAAAAAACTGTTCAGGCACAAAGATTAAACAAGCCTATGTTACATCCTTGGATTGTACTGAAATCAGGGAGTCCACAGTGCCCCCTGGTTACCCAACAACTATTTTCCCACCTTTTTAAATTTTTTTTAAAACCACCACATCCTTGGCAACTATTAAGCGGAAGGGGTTTGACTTGTTTATATCTCTCTCCATATATATAGATAGATCTATATACATATATATATATATATACACAAACACACATATATATAGATAGATATATTTTATATATGTCTATCCTATATGTACATAGGATATTAATGCTTCAAATGATTGAGGGAGCAAACAGGAAAGGCAGCACATGAATGTGAGGGGAATGCCACAAGTAACCTAGGAGGACCAAGAGAATCACAGGCTGTGAGGCAAGAGGAAACACTCAGAACTTTTCTGGCTTTCCATGTGGAAGAGTTTGGCTACAGATGTGTAAGGCAGTATCCAGCAGGAGCTGGCTGTTAGCAGTAGCAAAGCTGAAGGGATTTGGGGAGAGGGGAGAAAGGGGCTGGGGGGGAGAGAGAGAGAAGAAGAGGGGAGGAGAGAGGGAGAGAGAGGGAGAGAGGAGAGAGAGAGAGAGAGAGACAGAGACAGAGACAGAGAGAGAGAGAAAGAGAGAGAGAAGGGGAGGGAAGGGAAGGGAAAAAAAGAGGAATAGGAGAGAGAGGGGAGGAGAGAGGAGGAGAGAGAACTCTAGCTGGGAGAAAAGGAAAACAAAACTCTGAGACCCAACTGGAAAGAGAGATAAGTCTCTCTTCAACCTCCCAGTCCCAAATCCTCCTCCATTCCTACGAAATTCAAAGGCCCAGGCTTGTGTGTCCTATTCTACAAAGGCAGAAAGTTCAGAATGTTTTCTCACTACATTCTACCCCCAAAGCTAACCAGGCCGTGGAACATTCAGATCTCTCTTTTTAGGCTGGGGGATAATGGGAGAGAATGGGGGGGGGTAGGAAAAAGTAGGTTTTGCCATCCTCCAAACTTGAGTTGTGAGTGGCTGGGCCTCCACGGGGTGGTGAGTATAGTGCCAGTCCAATGCAAACATGTTTGTGAAACACCACAGCTCACCCTGACCCCTTTCTGGCTAACCCCCTGAATCTGCAGAGTCCTGGGGGCATCAGGGAGGCAGCTGGCTCTGATTTAGTACCATCCAATTCTGTAACACCAGATTACTACAATACTGCATGATTTCAAGACACAACTGCACACACAAAAAGCACCCACATTCAGCAGCGCGCACGCACACTTTCATTTTTGTTTTTGTTTTTTTCTTTTTCCCCATTCACATTGCAAAAGGAAAGGGCAGCGTTCTGTGAGAACTGACAAAGGAATTAACAAATATTACAAAAATATTACACTTTGTAAATATCAGCTCAACCCTCTCAGCTTTTATGAAGTGGGAAGGGGTGACCCAGATTAGATGGGGAGGGTCTAGAGATATTGGGGGTGGGGGAGAGAAGGAAAGTTGCTAATCCTATGGAATAGTTTGATTATTTCCCCATAAAACTGTGTTATCTTTCTTTAAAATCCTTGTTTCTGGGATTTGTAGGACCAGGTGGCCATTTAGTGCTTCCTCCTTCCCAGGGAGAGGGAAGGGGCCCAGGGTGAGGAACCTTTAGTGCACAATGAATTTTCTACTATCTGCCCCTCCCCAAAATGATACCACTCTCTTTTCACATTATAAACAAAACAACTGTCCTAGTCACATATTTCAAGTTTAACTTCTTTTTTTCCTTTCCAAAGCACTAAGTCTTCATGCTAACTGCAAAATAGCACCCTCCCTTGACCTCCACCCCCTGCCCCAGACCACTGACTGGTCTTACTTATCATGTGATTACTCCTCCCCACCCTCCAAAACCTGTCCCCCTAGTTTTAAGGCCTTCAGATTAGGTGGACGAGGTTGAATGGGGTTGTTAGGAGGCATAAAGGCAGGGGGATGGGGGGGGGTCACAGCAGCACCCCATCCCTCCAACTTCCCTTTTTTCTTCGTGATCCTCCCCGTCACATACAGCTTCCTTAAAAATCACTTTTTAAAACATAGATAAAATGCAGCCACAACTTTCCCAGAGAAAGACAAATACACATACACACACTCACACACAATCATTGCAAATAAAGCCTGAGATGAAACAGCAGCCCATCCCAAAGCAAACACAAATATTGCCAATGTGCTTTCAAAATTGGGGGAGGGGAGCAGAACGATGGGATGGGGAAGACGGGAAAAGGAACAGAAAGAATTGGACAAACGAACATAAGAGGTAGCTTTCAGAAAAAAAAATCCCTCCCCCAACCAAAACCAAAACAGACAAAATAAAACCCCCCAAACAACAAAATCTTAGTTTCCCACCAGACTGGCCTAGGGAAAAAAAATACCAGTTTTGGTAATGATAATATACACCAAGGGCCAGAGCTACAATAATCTAAATAATCCAGACCTGGAAGCCTGAATGACCACAAGTGTGGGAAAGGTTGGCTTTTTATAAAGGAGTTTGGGGACGGATTTAACCGTACGGACCTTGCAAATGGCCTGGCTTCACTACTGGGCAGCTCCGCCATACTCACAAAGGCCAGGCTGGTAGGTGACTGTTCTAAGCCCCTGGGGACTTCCAGCTGAGTCCTCCCACTTTCCCCTGCACCAACAGGACTTTACTCTCCCATCCTGAGCATTGCCATCCCTTGGCCCCTCCAGGGGCTGGGGGGGGGGGTGGAGAGAGGAGGCGGACAGGGGATAAGTAGTGGGTGCTATGGGGATGGAAGATTACAACAAAAGTTTGTAAAAACAATTACAACTTTACACAAGAAAAAGACCACCCCCTTCCCTTAAAAAAAAAAACAATAACAATAAAAACAAATCCACACATACATGGGGGGGAAAGCTCATGAGGTCACAAAAAACTGAGGTAATTCAAGTACAATGTGCTAAACGCAGAAAGAGAATGGGGGGGGGGTCATGAAGAGAAGCAAAATGCAACGAGAGTAAAAAGCCTCCTCCTCCTCCTCCTCCAATCCTTGGCAGATTCAGGGGTGTAGCAAGTGGGGGAAGCAGGCCTGGATTAGAGAAAGATGAAGCCCAGGTTTTATGTACCCCAGTACTGTCCTTCCTGGAGGACCTTGGGAACCACTGGGGAGCTGTTTCTCTGCCTTCCTGCATACTCTAAGAGACCACACAACACACCCACCATCTTCCTCCTCCAGATGTGGAGGCACACTAGGCTTGGGGGTGGAATGTGGAGATCCTCTAAGTATTTCCCTTAGGAAACAGCCCATTACTGTACAGATTGTAAGCTCCTTGACGACAGGGATTGTTCTTTTTTTTTTTAAATCTTTGTTATACCTGGCACCTGTCAATGCACATAGTAGATGCTTAATAAATATTTGTTCTTAAACTGAATTGTGTGTACCTTCCTCAATAAAAATTGAATGTGGGATTTGTGGGGTGTGTGTGTGTGTGTGTGTGTGTGTGTGTGTGTGTGTTTTCATGTTTCTTTTTTTCAATTTCTAGGGACAGTCCTGGCCCTATCGGGGCTAAGGGAGGGCTGCTGTTCTGTTTCTTGCTATTAGGAATAGCAGCATGGCAAAGTGGGTGGGGATAGGCTGAGTCACACATCACAGAGAGTTGTTCCTAAAGGAGAGTTGGGTAGAGAGGGTGACATTTCACCCCTGGAAGGCTCAATATATAAGGGGGTGTCTAGAGACTTTGGGTACTAGAACCTAAGGAAGGTAGTGTGGGTGGGAAGGTAGAAGACAACTTCATATCACCAACAGGGGATTACTAGATATAAAGAAAGAGAGAAGAAAACAGCCAAGATTGAAGTGTGTGTGTGTGTGTATGTGTGTGTGCGTGCGTGCGTGTGTGTGTGTGTATGTGTGTGTGGTGAAGGGCACAGGACCTAGTCAACCAGCACTGTTATTCTACAGCAGATGACAAACTCCATCTACCCTACCATCCAATCCCCTCATCCCCAGCTCCAGATCTGAAGTCCCCCACCCCTCAACCTCTGTCTGGGGAGAGTCAGGCAGCAGTTGTGTGGAGATCAACAAGCCTGCCTAGCTCTGGGCCAGATGTACCCTACCCCCACTTCCCTAAACTTGGCTCCCGGTCAGAGGAAGAAGGATTCAAGGCAAGGATGACAGGGAAGAACACAAGAACACCATCAAAGCAGAATAAAACACCCCCCCACACAAATGAAAATCACTTAGACTGTCCCAGAGTGGGCCACACCTGTGACCTGAGGCACCTAGCCCCATGGCATGAGCCTTGAGAGAGAATCTTGTATAGATACCAAGGTCAAACACAGTTATCAATCCAGTCCTCTTTTTCTTCTTTTCTCTTGTGTGTGTGTGTGTGTGTGTGTGTGTGTGTGTGTGTGTGTGTGAGTGTGTGTGTGTGCGCGCGCAGTCCTTCAATGATTCCATCTCTCTCTCACTTCTCCCACTTCCTCCTCCCCTGGAGCGCCTTTCACACGTAACACAGATAGAGGTAAGTCTTCTCGATCCTCCAGTCAGGTGGGATCTCCTCAGGCTTGTGGCCCTTCATGTGCTTCTGCATGGATGAGAGGCTGGGGCAGTACTCGGTGCAGATGGTACACTGGTAGGGGGAGGCGCCATTGTGTGTTCTCAGGTGTTTGATCATGGCGGAGTAGTCCCGGGAACGCTGGTGACAGAGCTTACACTCAAAGGGCTTCTCACCTGGGAGGGGACAGAAGGCAAAAGGACAAGTGGAAAAGAAAGATGGATCAGATGCTCCAAGAGACTCTCTGTCCCTACACTCTACAGCTTCCCAGAAACCTCTCTCCACAGTAATGGTGCCTTCTCCTCCCTCCTCTCCCACTGAAGGGAAGGGGAATCAGGAAAGGGACCAGTGAGGTCCTTCACAGAAAAGACGGTCAAGGAGTCCCACTGCCTAGATTGTAATACTTTCCAGGCCAAAAATTGGCGTGGGGTAGGGTTAAGGAAGTGATACTCTACACAATGGTGGGAGGAGGATAAAAGTGAAAGTCATGGCTATTTAATTTGTTTAGACCTGGCAGACCCTTCAGGTTTCCTCTGGAGTTATTTGAAGTCAAGGAGACCCTGGCACTCAGTGTGACCAGGAGACAGAGAGGATGGGGACCTGCCTAGACAATGTTAAACCCTATCCCAGATTCCCCTATTTCTTCCTTCTGCTACAGCCCCCTGGAGCTGAGCTGAGGATCAGAGGGAAACTTGCTTCAATACAGTAATTAACTGGCCAGCCGTCTGGATATTGATACTCACTCTGTGCAGAGGACCCACAAATAATGAAGTAATGAACAGCCAAAGTGATCTAACTATCGATCTGCTATTTACAATAGTTACCACCAATGCATTTAATGATCTGCCAGCCCCAGCCACATCTTGAGCAAAGGGCTGTAGGAGCCTTGGGATTCCAGTGGCCTTTGGGTTGCCGTGGGCACCAGCAACGAGGATTTCCTACCATCCTCTCCAAGTATCAGGAGGCTCGGTACAGTTAGAGCTCCAAAAGAATACGAGTGAGAGAACTGAACTGTGGGCACGGCCTCCTCCTTCCTGTCTGGCTCTTTCCACAGACAGACTCCCTTAAGCCAGCAGGACTGTCCAAAGGTCACTGAATCCCTCCCCCTGCCTCTCAACAAGCCAGCTCTCTCCATTCCAATGACTGATAAGAGGTCTCTCCTGTGCAGAGGAGATGACAAAAACTTTTTAGCTTGCCAAATTGTAATGTTTCTTATTTCTTGAAGCAAGTACATACACACACACACACACATATACACACATACATATATATACACCCACACACAAAGACACACATGTTCTATGATATATAATACACATATAACACATACACATATATACATATGCATGTATGAATGTATGTATGTGAGTGTGTGTCTACATGTATGAAAATTCCACTTCCCTCCAATCTTCCTGATGGAACTTGGACTGCTCTGCTTGTCCTTTCCTCCAAAGTAAAAGCTGCTGACCCTCCTGGACAAAACAAGCCTTATTTTTATCTCAATATATCCTGCCCTCAACCTAACCTTTAACTATCTTAGCCTTAGTCAAACTCAATCCATCTTGACCCCTAACCTTAAGACTAAACTCAACCCTCAGGCTAACCTCCAAACTAGTATTCAGTTTGGCCTCAATTCATTTTAACTATTCACTGTATAAAACCTACACTGCCCACTCCCCTTTCCTGCATCTCTCTCTCTCTTTTTCACCAACCAATTTTTTTAATCAACTTTAGTTACTTTTTATTGTTATTTCACTTTTTTTTCAGAGAGCATGCATTATAAATGTATTGTTGTCTGCTGTATTAAGTAAAAATTTATTTCTTTTTTTGACAGGATTTTATTTTATTTTTTATATTCTTTTAAATAAATTTTATACAGAAGGTCTATTTCCCCCCAATTACATATTTTTTAAAATTAATTAATATATTTTTAGTTTTCCACCTTCACTTCCATAAGCTTTTGAGTTTTATCCTGCCTCTCTTTCAAGAGGCCCCTCTCCCGCCAAGATCTACCCACCCCTTCCACTGTGCTCTCTGGAAGGCCTGCTCCTAAGTAAAAAACCTGCTGTCATCTTAACCTTTTTCCCTTTATCACTGCTTCCATTTTTTTGCACTAGCTGAGAGACCCTACTCCCTCCTGATGACATGGTACTACTGGTCAACCTTTCTAGCACTTGTAATTCCACGTTTAATTTGCCCCTCCCAATTCACTGGTTGTCAGGGAAGTCAGAATATTCCTTGTCCCATTCCTCTGCCCCCAACTTCTAGACTCTCCTCTACCACCATCACTCAGTGACGTCTTTCTTTGAGGTTCGTTCAATTCATATTTATCACCCAGTCAAGATTCTAGTAGCTACTATCTACAGATCTCCAGGACACTCTCCTTTCTTCCTCAACGAGTTCAGAAACTACCCCAGTCTTTCTCCCCTCTCCAACTCCTGACCTCATACTACGGGACTTAGGTCAATAGGCAGGTAGATAGACAGACAGACAGACATCTAGATAGAAAGACAGCCAGGAGAAATAGAAAGATAGAAAGATGGATGGACAGAGAGATAGACCAAGAGACAGATGGATGGATAGACTCCCTCTTTCCTTAATTTACTCAATTCCTATGACGTACTTCTCCATCCCACCTCAGCTACACAGAGAGGCGGTCCTATCCTTACTCTTGCCATCACACGTAAGTCTTCCACATCCATGCATGAACTCTGAAATGCCTTTATCTGATTTTTGATCCTTCTATCTTTTCCTCTGCTTATATCTCCTAACCCTGTTCTTCATCCTCTCAGTGACTTTCCATTCTCCCCCTCTAAGTTTTTTTCCCAGGCTATCACCCTTGCAATGGCTACACTCTCTTCCCTTCCCTACCCTGATCACTCAAAGAACCAGTTCAATTCTACTCTATCTTCTAGTCAGAAGTCCCGTGGCTCTTCATCTCATCACTTATCTTACCCTGCTAAGTGCTCAGCCTTACATTATACCCATCACCTACTGCCTTTGCTCCTATTCATGGGTTGCCAAGTGAAGCTGGAGAAAGTCAGTCAACTAAATTGACTGGTCCACTACAAATTTATGTTACATCATCTCAGATAGGTCTTTACTGTGGTAAAACAATCCTTTTACACCTCCCTAACTCACTCACACTATCCCCTTCACTGTCCTCAGTGGTCAGAGGAAGTATTCAAGGCAATGGTGATTGGGAAGAACACTATATAGCATCAAAAAAATAAAATTAATCCCCCAAAGGAAAGTCACTCAAACTCTCATGTAGTGGGGAGAAGAGCTAGGCCACATCTGCCACCTGGGGTACTTGGCTCCAAAGGCTTTCTAGATCTTTTTATCCCTCCTTAAGTCTCCCATGGATCCCTTTCCTCCACCCTCTCATCTAAAAAAATTGAGGCCACTAGCTGAGATCTCCCTCTTCTACCCTCCTGCTCATCACATATCACTCAGATGCTTTCTGCCACTATCTCCGCCTCCACCTCTGTCTTACATGAAGAGGTGGGAGCCATCTCCAGTCGTCCTGACCCACATCTTGCCACGGGATCCAGATGGCTCTGGAGGAGAGAGTGAGGCTGGCGACTTTGCACTAACTTAAATCCAATTCACTTACAAGTCATGGCATCACCTTCCTGGTGTCATGGTCTTCTTCAAGAACAAAGGACAAACAACAACATGAAGAGGTGGCCCTTCTCCTTGCTAAGACAAACCCTGCTATGTGTACAAGTGATCTCATCCCATCCTGTCTTCTCTAGTAGATTTCCTTCTCTATTCTCCCCCACTCTCACTAATCGTCAGTCTCTCCTTCTGTACTGGCTGCTTCCTTGTTGCCTACAAACACAACCATGTCTCCCCCATCCTCAGAAAAACCTCATGTTTCATCCAACCCCACTGTCATTGTATATAACTCCTCTCTTTTATAGCTAAACTCCTTGAGAAGGTCATCTTCTCAAGGGGTCTCCAGTTCCTGTTCCTTTCTTCTCACTCTCTTAATTCTCTGCAGTCTGGCTTCTGACTTTATCACTCAACTGAAACTGCTCTCTCCAAAGTTACCAATAATCTCTTAATCACTAACTCTAATGGCCTTTTCTCATTCCCCATCCTTCTTGACTTCTCTGTAGCTTCTGACACTGTTGATTTCTCTTTTCCCCTTGATTCTCTTTTCTCTAGATTTTTATGGCACTGCCTTCTCCTGATCCACCCTCTACCTATCCAATTGCTCCATTCTCTGTCTCCTTTACTGGGTCTTCATCTATATTGTGCACGGTCCTTGGCCCTCTTCTCTTCTTCCAGCTCCCATTGATTCAATGATCATTTCTAGGCAGATGATTCTCAGATCAATTTATCCAGTTCTAACCTCTATCCCGACTTCCAGTCTTGCATCTCCAATTTCCTGTCGGATACCTCAAACTCAATATACCCAAATTGAACTTGCTATCTTTTTTCCAAACCCTCCCCTCTTCCTATATTCTCTATTACAATCCTCCCAATCATCCAAGGTCTCAAGCAATCATTGACTCTTCACACACCCACATCCAAACTGATTGCCAAGTCCTGTTGTCTCTTCTTTCACAACATCTCTTGTATGTACGCCCTTCTCTCCTCTGATGCTGCCAGCACCCTAGGGCAGAACCTTCATCACCTCATATCTGGACTACTGTGATTATCAATTCTCTCTCCACTCCACTGTATTCTGCACTCAACTATCAAAATATCTTCCTCTACACAAGTCTGACCATGTCACTATCACCTCTACCTTCATTCAATAAACTTCAGTGGCTCCTTACCACCTCCTAGATCAAATATAAAATCCTCAGTTTGTCTTTTAAAGTCCTTCATAACCTGGCCTCTTTCTATTTTTCCAGTCTTCATGCACCTCATTTCCCTCCCCATTCTCTGAGATACAGTGACACTGGCCTCCTTGACATTCCTTGTACAGCACATTCCAGCTCTCAAATCATGCATTTTCACTGGCTATATCCCATGTTTGGAACTCTCTCTTCTTACCTCTCTAACTCTTGGCTTCCTTCAAGACTCAGTTCAAATTCTATCTTCTTCAAGAAGCTTTTCCCAGGCCTCCTTAATCCCAGTGCCGTCCATCTGAGATTACCTCCAATTTACCCTGTGTATCTTGTTTGTGCTTAACTATTTGAATTACTCTTGCCATCACACGTAAGTCTTCCACGTCCATGCATGAACTCTGAAATGCCTTTATCTGATTTTTGATCCTTCTATCTTTTCCTCTGCTTATATCTCCTAACCCTGTTCTTCATCCTCTCAGTGACTTTCCATTCTCCCCCTCTAAGTTTTTTTCCCAGGCTATCACCCTTGCAATGGCTACACTCTCTTCCCTTCCCTACCCTGATCACTCAAAGAACCAGTTCAATTCTACTCTATCTTCTAGTCAGAAATCCTGTGGCTCTTCATCTCATCACTTATCTTACCCTGCTAAGTGCTCAGCCTTACATTATACCCATCACCTACTGCCTTTGCTCCTATTCATGGGTTGCCAAGTGAAGCTGGAGAAAGTCAGTCAACTAAATTGACTGGTCCACTACAAATTTATGTTACATCATCTCAGATAGGTCTTTACTGTGGTAAAACAATCCTTTTACACCTCCCTAACTCACTCACACTATCCCCTTCACTGTCCTCAGTGGTCAGAGGAAGCATTCAAGGCAATGGTGACTGGGAAGAACACTATATAGCATCAAAACAAAATAAAATTAATCCCCCAAAGGATTAATGTCCCCCTCATCAGAATGTACACTGCTTGAAGGCAGGCACTGTTTCCGTCTATAATTTCAATAAGACCCTTTGTCTGGCCTCAAGCTGCCAACTATCTATTTCCTACCACTTGTTATCCCCCCAAACTTGGAGCCCCAGTCCCTTGCATGTCTCCTTCTCCCCAGGCTCCCTATCTCCCCCCTCAGCTGGATGATCCTCATTACCTGTATGGACCCTGTAGTGGGTCTCCAGCTGGTGCTTGAGGCTAAACTTCTTTCCACAGCCATTGCATTCATAGGGCTTTTCCCCCGTGTGGATACGTTTATGGCTCTTGAGCGTGCTCTCATCCCGGAAACAGCTGCCACAGAATTCACATTCATATGGGTGGTCACCTGTAGGGGCACAAAGGGTTGATGTTGTTCAGTCATTTCAGTTGTGTCTGACTCTTTGTTACCTTATTCAGGGTTTCCTTGGCAAAGATGTTGGAGTGGTTTGCCATTTCCTTCTCTAACTCATTTTACAGATGAGAATCTGAGGCAAACGAGGTTAAGTGACTTGCCCAAGGTCACCCAGCTAGTAAGTATCTGAGGCCGAATTTGAACTCAGATCTTCCTGACTTTAGGCCCTGTGTCCCATCTGGCTGCCCTACAACAACAAAAATAACAATTCCTTGCCCTGATTCTTTTAGGACTGTAGGGACCGTGGAACAGACAAGAAGAAGAACAGAAGTAACAAGTTAGTTTATCATCTCCATTGTCCCAAAATACTTATAGTGCCACCTTTGCTTACATGGGCACAGCTCCTGCCTGCTCTCTGGGCCATGCCCATGAGTACTTTACTGTAGAGTACACCCCTTTCCCAGAATATCTAGAAGGTTTCGTGAAGGAAAAATGAGACAGGTTCAAAAGGTGACCAGAATAGAGGCCTTTAGAGAGGAGCAGCTCTGGTGCCCAAGGATAACATACAATGATGATGATGATATTTTTATGTCCCTGTTATCTATATGATAAAATATTATACTAACACTTCTACAGCACTTTAAAATTTATAAAGCACTTGCCTGGAGGCAGTGTATTTATTCCCCATTTTACAAATGAGGAAACTGAGGGTTACAGAGATTAAGTGACCTGCCTATATTAATGAAGTAGAAGCCAAGATTTTAATCCAGGCCTTGTGACTCCATGTCAGTGCATCTCTGCTTTATCATACTACCTCTCCTAAAGCTTTGTCCCTTTAGCTAGGTGACTCAATGAAGAAGGTGGAGTGAGGCGGACCAGAGCTCAAATTCTGCCTCACACTTCCTAGCTGAGTGACCACGGGCAAATCACTTATACCCTTCTAAGCCTCGGTGTCCTCATCTGTAAAATGGGAATAACATGACCTCCCTTACAGAGCTGTTGTGAGGATCAAAGGAGATAAAATTCGTAAAGCACTATATAAATGCTGGCTATTATCTAATTTATCTATTCTCTCAAGCCAACAAGTTAGCTTAGGTTATGAGTTCAGGGTGAAGGATTCTTCAACCTTTTACTGCTCTCAACCTCGTGAGAAACCTCCTTGGTCCACGAGAAATAATTCAAACACGTTGGCTTGGGGTTGAAAGCTCTCCATAATTTGGTTGCAACCTAGTTTTCCAGACTTACTACAAATCATTTTTTCACGTGGTCTACATTTTGGCCTACTAAGCTGTTCCCCAAACTCAACATTCCATTCTTGTCTCCATGTATTTGTCTCCCATCACTGACAGGTGCTCCTTGCTCACCTCCACCTCTTAGAACCCCTTAGCTTCTTTCTAGTCTTATCTAAGGTTGTGCCTCCCATAGCAGCCCATGACTGCCCCAGCTAATATTTTCTCTCTCCTCAAATTATCTGTATACAGTGTAATCTCTCTGAAGAATGAAAGATCTTGAGGGCAGGGGTTATTTCATTTTTATTTTTGAATTCCTATAGGGCCTTGTACATATAAAGCGCTTTAAAAACATCTGTCCAATTATAGCCTCCCCCCACCAATCCCATCAGTACCCTTCTCATGCCCAACAGCACTTGCCCCTCTTTAGCACCCAAGATGGTTAGAAGAGATGGTCTAGGGCCTAACAAACTTGGGATTTCGTTCCAGCAGTGGGATCCTCTCAGGATGAAAGGTGAGAATTCCAGCTACTTACTTATTATGGGAGTGAAGGAGCAGACAATAAAGACAGATTGATCACCCCAGACTTTGTTCATGAATATTTAAATATCGCTGATTCGTCTTGTCACTGTAATTACAATTTCTCTGGGCTGCATCTCCAACAACCACAGTTTATGGTAAAGAATGGCTCTCTGTATTTCACTTGTCCCTCTGCAGATGTGCGGGGCTGCCAACCGTGTAATGTCCTCTGCATTTCATACGTTTTCTTCAGCTGCTGAAGGTTTAAGTCATCCACAATGACCTACGTTTTTTCATTATTCCCATGTCAAACTGCACTCGTGCCTGGGCATAAATTGTCCCTCTCGTTATAGACTCACATGCCTGTGCCTTCACTTCCTCTTTAAAATGATATTTTACTCTCTTTCCCTCTCAAATGTTCCTCCCGACCCCCACCACCTCAGGCCTCTAACCAAACCTCTCCCCTCCCAAATTAGGGCTCCCATGTCCCCATAAATCCTCATCCCTCCGATGACTCCAAAGGGTTTTTAAAGCTCTGTGGGGAGCAGATGCTGAAGCTTGCTCATTCACGTACTGTCTTTGGTTTGTGGGAGATGTCATGCAAATAGCTCTGAGGACTTGAAGAAGGGAAAGAGGGCCCTAGCCATGGGTGGTAAGGAAAGCTGGGAGAGCAGAGAGATCCTTCCTGTTCCCTCTCTGACCCTGGTCAGGTAATAATTGATGGGAAGGTCCTGGAAAGTAAATGATGACCAAGTAATTCCTTCAAATACAGATCTTGAGAGCTGACCAAAGCCTAGGCATAGGGTTCTTTGTATGTCATGGACCCCTTTGATAGTCTGGGGAAATATATGGATGGACCCATTCTCAGAATCATGTTTTGTTTTTGTTTTTTAAATGAAAGTAATTGAAGGAAATGCTAAATTTCAGTTACAGGTTAGTGAAAAGAAAGATGGACTTCTCCCCCATCTAAGTTTAAGGACCCTTGAAATCTATCTGTGGGATCCAGGTTGAGAAACCTTGACCTAGACAGTGACCCACCCCCACCTCTACCCCCTTAACTCCTTCCCTTGCTAGGGCCAGATTGGTAACAAGAACCCTTGACTTCTTCAAATTTCAAGTGGGTTTGGTTCAATTCAGTCTTTGGCATTAACCAGCTATGTATGTTTGTGTACATACGTCTATGTACATAGACGTGTACATAGACATACACACACGTGTACGTACGTCTGTGTACATACGCACTGTCTAAAGACAATGTGGGTCTTTTGTACGGACCCATGTGGCACTTGCCTCTCTGTATCTGCCTGTGTGGCTGTATGTCGCTGTCTCAAATCTAACTCAAATTTTCCATTAATCTCCAATCATTAGAGGTTTAATCAAGGATTCAGCATCCTCATTAAGATATAAATAAATAAATTAAATAAGGACCATGAAGAATCCCAATCAGGCCAGTAATTAAAAGTCATCTGGGGCCACTCAGCAAGGACCTGCCAACTCATATTTTTTCCTCTAGAGGCCATGATAGTTTAAAAAGAAGGAGTGGTGTTAAGTCTCAGTTGTATATCTGTTTGGATTTTGGTGAATTTAATTTTGAATTAGATTACATGTTAAATTACTTTAAATACAGAATCTACAGCCTAAGGAAAGAAAAAGAAGGTGATTGGGAGAGGGGGCCATGGAGGGGGAGGAGACACAGGGGAAGAAGTTTGGGAGAGAAACAGAGAGAAAAGGTAGGGTGTGGAAGAGGATGTAGAGAGAGATGTCAAGGCACCAAGAGCACCTGGCCTGAAATCCTCTCCCCGAGAGTTAATCGTGTCTGAGTCTCCATAATGTACACAAAACTGGCTGCAGAACTAAAAATCCAATTTGCGGTATGTTGATTAACTCCGTAGCCTTCTTAATGAGCTTGACATTAAGTGCAGGACAAACGAGACTAATTAGAGCCCCCTCTGGCCTGCACAGTGCACCTGTGACCCCCTGCTCTTAGATCTCGTTACCTGATGGTTTCACTAGCAGGGTCAATCCCAGACCCCATCCTCCCTGCCCCCACCCCTTTCATTTCCCTGGCCCTTGTCTCCCACCCCCTTCCTTCTGCACAGCTGAGAGTTTATTATATGATGAGCCGTATGAATCAGGGATTCATCAATGCCAAGAGCTCGGCTGGACTGACCTACCAAACACAGCTGCGGACGCTAAACACACAGCCCCAGCAGCAAATGGGCCGGGAACAACAGAATATTAATGAGGCATTGTGTGTGTGTGTGTGTGTGTGCGCGCGCGCGTGTGTCCATGTGAATAAGTATGTCCAGACACATGGATTCATGACCGT